ATTGACGTTTGTACAAAATTAAAAGGATTAACGTGTTCCAAATAATTGCATGGTTACTAGTCAATTAAGAGCTAGTTGACTCGAATTATATATAATTAAAATTAATTAATTATATATACACACCATTAAGAGGGTTGAAGACTTTATTTATCACGTGAATGGTTTTCCAAAAAGAAAAAAGAGGATTCATGCGGCTGATAATTTACGTACCATGCAAGCAATGTTATAGGAAAGTGTAGTGTATATATTTATTAGCTTAAAAATTAAAAATACTAATAACCAATACAAGTAATAAGATTGTGACTTTATAAATAGTATTAGAGTTAGAACACAACATCAGAACAGATCTAATTCTGAATATTTATTTCTGACATGGGAGTTTGTAACATTCAAAATATTAGTTATATTTATAACTAATATAACACATTAGTTATACATTAAGATCATACTAGATACGTGTATATATATATAATGGTAGTAGTTCATCAGTGAAATATCAGGAGAGAAAAAATGGTGATTTTCAGAACAAGAAATCAGATTTAGTTCACCAACCGTCCTGATCATTCACTCTAATTTCTTCTGTGTTTACTCCTTTCTGCAGTATAATGTTTCAATGCGTGTACTTGTTTCCAGTGTTTAAACACAAGATTTGACTCAATTCCCCGTTTCATTTTGCAGTAACACACACACACGTACATATATATATATAAAGGCATATGTGAAAAGAAGATTCCCACAAATAACTGAATAAGACCAGACTGCTGGTGGGTTTGTGGCCATACTGCGTCAAAATAATTGAATTCTATATATACCATATGTTGAGAATCAATTTGTTTTCCAAAAAGCTGTGTGCTTTTTCATCCATTCAAACTCTTGGATTCCCAAGATGATAAAAAGAAAATTTCAATTTGTCTTGTTTCTGTTCATGGCTCAAGACCACATGATCCCACGGGATATTTGGATGTGGCCGACGCCATTATCATAAGACCTGTTAATGCAGCCAGATTTTAACTGATCCATGACAGCGATGTGCAGGCTGGCTTCGGTGTCCATTTTTACCCACTGCTTCATTTACTTGCCTCGAAGATTCGACACAGTGAAATTGGATTCAAGGGTACTTTCTTTTAACAAACCTGACTGAGAAAGTTGAACTAAAGAAAAAACCCAGATAATATTTTTAAGAGTTAAAGAAGAGCGACTATAAATACTTTTGAAGAACTGGGGCTAGAATAGATTAGATGAAGCGGAGAAATGGATTTTAGAGGCTGGGTTTGAGGAGAGGTTTGAACGGAGACGTATTTTTTGGTAAAAGGGTAGATCTCCACAACTACTGGATATTGTCTCACTCTGTAATTGCAGAATTTTTAACGCACAAGTATTGGATATCAAAAAGGCTGTCAACAATGTGATTGGATAAAAGGTGCAGAAGGAGGAAGAAGAGAACTGAGCTTGAGAACTTGCAAAAATTGACAGAGAAAGCTGTTGAAGACAGAGTATCTTCTCACTTTAACATCACTATGTTAACCAAACATAAAATGCAACAAGAATCTTCCTGATTTGAAAGTTTAATTTTATGATTGAATTTCAACCACACTGCATTAAGAATGTTGCAATGGCCGGGTGTGGCAATATCAGTACTTATGGAGCTCAACACTTTACTTGATCCTCTCTCCGAATCCATCCTCTGAAACCCATTTCTCGATTTCATCAATTCCATTCAAGACTCGTATGACCCAAATGAATGGCCTGTTTGATTCCTCTAACCTTATTCCCCTGCTCAATTAATTGTGCAGCTGGTGCATTACTGAGGCTTCTAAGACAAACATACACTACAGAGCTTGGCACCTGAGAGTCAATCCAGTTCAAGCATTGTGATGTGAGCACGGATAGTTTGGACTATTGAAGAAACTTTAAGACAAGATCAAAGTAATTTGATTGGATTTGGATCTTTGGGAAGAGCATTATGATGCCTAGCGAGCCTATTACGAGGAAGGGCCAAAAGACTTAAACAAGCATTCCAACTCTTTGTTCAAGAATGGATAAGTGATGCTGAATAAATTATTCAAAATTATGTTAGTATTAATTTTTCATCGTCAACTTGCTTGCTGCTGCATAATATCTTGAATAAACATAATGATGTTAAGGTGAGAAGATCCTCCTTCTTCAACACTTCTCTTCGCCATTTCTGCAAGCTTCTTTGCTCGTTGTCTTCTTCCATCTCCTTCCTCACCTCTATCTATCACTTTCTCTATCACATCTTTAATCACTTCCTTCTTTACACACACCCCATATTTCTCTTCTTCTCCAATTACCAGAGCTTTCTCTGCTCCAACCCATATCCCAATTTTCAGAACTTGCACGGCCAGTTTGCTATTGCAAAACTGGTCGGAGGAAAGTGGCCAGGTGATCAGCGGCACGCCAGCACTGATACCTTCAATGGTGGAATTCCATCCACAGTGAGTTAAGAATCCTGCAATGGCGGAATGCGACAAAATCACTACTTGTGGAGCCCAGCCCTTTATCAAAACACCTCGTCCTTTGATTCTCTCCTCGAAACCATTTTCTGAAATCAATTTCTCTACTTCTTCTAATCCATTCCAATCTCTTATGACCCAAATGAACGGCTTGTTCGATGCCTCTAAACCCAGTCCCAGTTCCATTATCTGTTCAGGCGGTAGAGTACTTAGGCTTCCTAGACAAACGTAGATTACAGAACTTGGTTCCTGAGCGTCAAGCCATGTCAACCATTGGTGTGGGTCGACTGTACTTTTCTTCCCTCTTTCTGCCTTGTCCAATTCATTATTGTTACAGAGCGAAAGAGGCCCAACACACCAGATTTTTTCCCCTCGTGCCTTTCTGTATTCTCTGGTATACTCCGGTTCTAGCTCTTCAAAAGTATTTATAATCTCCCCATATGCTGCAGCTGCTTTTGCTCCTATTTTCTTCATCGTCTCCATGAAGTCCTCGTCCTTGAAGAATGGTAACTGAGCTTTAGTAAGTTCCACTTTATCAGGCAAGTTTGTCAGAACAAAATACTCCGACTCAGATTTCACGGTTTCATGGATTTTGCTGACGAGGAAATCGTGCATACACATCAGAAAAAAGCAACTCACTGGACGAAACACAATTCTTGGTACTCTGAACTTGTCGGCAATATCGCTGGTATATCCAATCAGGAAATCAGATATGATGCAGCAAGGCGGCGGTGTTAGCTTCTCGAACAATTCATGAACGGGTTCTTCCAGCAAAGCAATTGCTCTGAACAAATTCGGAAATAAGTTATTCGACTCCAACATGTCCAAGTTCTCGAGGCCTTCTGGTAGTCCTGCCTCTGCGCATGGAAACGGGAGCTGGACCAGATTGATTTTAAGACGAGATTGTAGAGCTCGGGAGATGACTGGTTCGAATCTTGTAGCATTTAGAGGGGTTGTAATGATGGTGATATTCGCACCCAGTTGAGCCAAGAGTCTAGCCAGGTCAATCATGGGGATCATGTGGCCTTGAGCCATGAAGGGGAACAAGACAAAGTGAAGCTTCTGGTTTTGATTTTGGGTATCCATGGCGAATCTGATTGATAAAAGAGGGAGGTTTTGTAATATTTTAAGGATCAAATTAACTTCGTCAAAAAACACATACAATTCGTATAAAGAAGCTTCAAGAACAAACTATATAGCCGGTGGTGAGTTGATCCAAGAGGTAACATACATAAATAAGAAACATCCTGGTATTAGATCAGATTAGTTTATCTGGACAATATTTACACCTTCAAATTTTTTTAAAAAATCAATTACTGACAGACCATCACTACGTACATATTAAATATGAATCATGACATTTTTATATCTCAACAAGCAGGATGATGAAAAGTATGGATCATACACATGGCTAAACAATGTAATGATACACTTCGTTTAAAATTCTAATTAGGTTAAATACAGAAGATGAACAACCTGATTGAAAATTAATGAATGCATAGTTTGACTAGAATTTATGCCTACATAAAAGAGAACAAAAGTAATAGCCATTTGATTAAAAAATGACATCTCTGTCTTTATATACTAATAATTTTTTATTTAAAAAGAAAAAAATTTAAGAGAACATAAACCTCACAAATGCTTTAAAATTTTTTGAATATTTGTTAAAAACACTTGCAATTAATTAACATATATTTATGAAATTTTATTATTTTATTTGTTTAAAAATTATAACATATCATGTGCATATTTAATATTTTTGTTATATATTAATTCTACTATTAAAACATTACTCTCTTACTCCTATTTTAAAGCCTATTATCCTGCTAACGATATTATTTACAAAAATTAAAATTAAACTTACAATCGAACTAACAGTATATAAATATTATTAAAAATATTTTTTAAAAAAATTAAAACTATATATTAATTCAAATACTTTTGATTTATAAGTACATAAGTCTTATTATTTTATTTTTTTGGTGGAATGCAATCAAATTAAAAGGATTCACATATTTTAAATCTTGAAATAGTTGTATGGTTATTAGCTAATAAAGAGCTAGCTGACTCAAATTTTATATAATTAAAAGTGATTAGATCTACACTCCATTAACAAGGTTGAAAACTTGATTCATCACGTGGATGGTTTACAAGAAGAAAGAAAGGATTCCAGCGGCTGATATTTTATATACCATGCTGGCAATGTTATAGGAAAGAGTAGTGTATGTTTGTGATTTTATAAATAACAGTAGAGCTGAACACAACACTCAGAAGGGATCTGACTCTAAATATTTATTTCGGATACAGGAGTTTTTAACATTTAAGCCTTTAGTTATATATCTTTTGCTGGATATTTACATATATATATGTATAAATATAATACTAGTTTCTGGTTAGGTCATGCATCAGTGATATAGCAGAAGAGAAAAAATGGTGATTTTCAGAACAAAGAATCAGACTTTAGTTCACCGAACGTCCTGATAATTTACTCTTTTCTTTCTTCTGTATAATATTTCAATGCACATAACATAGTGTTTAAATGCAAGATTTGAGTCAGCTCCCGGTTTAATTTTGCAGCAACATATATATATATATATATATACACGTTTATATGTAAAAATGCATATAGGAAAAGAAGATTCCCACAAAGAACTGAATGAGACCAGGCGAGCAAGTGGGTTTGTGGCCATAGTGCCTCAAAATAATTGACTTCTATATACACTTATCAATTTGTTTTCCACAAAGCTCAGTTCTTTTTCGTCCATCCAAACTGCCATGAATTCCCAAGATGATAGGTAGAAAATTTCAGTTTGTCTTGTTTCTGTTCATGAAAAGACCACATGATCCCCGGGATATACCCAGCTAGATTCTTGGCCCAACGAGGTGTGCCCGTCACCATTATCACAACACCTGTTAATGCAGCCAGATTTTAACCGGTTCATGACAGTGATGTGCATTCCGGCTTCGATATCCAAATATACCTGCTGCTTAATCTACTTGCCTCCAAGATCCGACACTGTGAAATTGGATTCAAGAGTACTTTCTTTTACCAAACTTGACTGAGAAAGTTGAACCCAAGGAGGAAAAACCCAGATAATATTTGTAAGAGTCAAAGAACATGAGAGAAGCAGATCTTGCATTATAGGGGCGACTGTAAATAGAGTTCCTCTGAGAAAGTGATAGAATTCAGGTCATAATAGACTGGAATAGATTAGATGATGCGGAGAAATGGATTTTAGAGGCTGGTTTTGAGGAGAGATTTGAAGGAAGACGTACTTTGATAAGGGGTAGGGCTCGGATATTGTCTCACTCTGTAATTGCAGCATTTTTAATGCACAAGTATCGGATATCAAGAAGGCTATAAACAAGGTGACTGGATAAAAGGGGCAGAAAGAGAGAGGAGAAGAGAACTGAGCTTGAGAACTTAGCAAAAAATGGCTGAGAAAGCTGTTGAAGACAGAGGATCTTCTCACTTTAACATCACTACGTCAATCAAACATAAAATGCAACAAGCATCTTCCATATTTGACAGTTTAATTTGCTTTACATCCACAAGAGATAATATGTAAAAACTATTCAGATCCCTACAAGAAAATTTTCCTTTTATTTTAGTATTTCTTTTTCGTTTATAATACATTTCTTTACATTCTTCATGTCCAGTTCAACCATAAATATGTCTCTTCTTTTTTGCGATTAAAAATTCCAAGCGAAGAAAATCTTATTAGACAATCCTCTAGAACGAATCAACCTAGAAGGTATGTTCATATCTCAAATTTCCCCACTCTGTTTGCCTACCTAGTTTAGCCTGCTTCCCAATGCAACTGTTTGTACCTTTCTTTTTACATGAACCAGCTCCAATGCACCACTTATAATCATATATTCACATCTCAAATTTCCCCATTCTGTTTGCCTACCAGAATCATGTCCACGGGGGTCAAATCAAATCACAGGAAGGAGCGTGGGATTGAGTGGTAATAAACAGAATCATTTCATTCTCTTTTGCACATTGCTATTTCTTGCTAGAATCTGAATCCTTCCTGCCCGAGTCCGGTTTTTCCAGTCGAGCAGTTTTCCATGAAAGTGAACTAGTTGATTTAAGTAACAAGCCCAGGGCTGACAAACTCGCTGCCCTAACAACTGCATCTGCTGAGCGACTTAGCTTGGTCACCAGCACCCCAAAAACCTAAAAGGAGGCATGAAGTTCATCAAATTGTTTCTACTACATGCTTCTGCTACATGCAAACATGATAAACACAAAAGAAGTATATGGATACGACCTGTGGATAGTAAAGAGCCAATAAGTGCTGATCATCTGAGAATGATAGCATGCTGCTGGAGAAGTAAATCGCATTTGCCTGGATTATTGGCCAAGGAGCATCAAAAGCCTGCATTAAGACTTGACAACTCAGAAGCCATATTTCCGTGTTTCTAAACCCGACAGAAACACAAGCACAAAATTTTAGCACTTTATTAACATATCAGCCCTGTTTTCAGCAATGTGGTCTATAAGCATTGACAACAAATATCAACACTAGTGGAATAAATTAATATGTACGCTTCTCAGCTAGACTGCGATGTGTTAAGAATAAAGCCAACAGAATGAAAGAAACAAGACAAAAGACAATCACATTTATTACATACTCAGTATCAAATTGGCCAAGTAGATAAGCTGAAATGTGCAAATTAGACTAATAATTACTTATCGGATGATTTTAAGTTCAAATCGAAGGGGATAGCACAAGGATGTGTAATTCGAGTAATGATAGAGTTGAGGAAATGGAGGAGACCCAGTATCTGAGAAGAATCAAGATGTTAAACAACTGGATTAAAAAAGGACTAACGCAGATTGACCTAGGTTGAACTGCAGCCTCGGTAGGTTGTACTTAATTTAGCATGGAAGTTATATTTCACATACAATTTAATATAACATACTTCTCATTTAGTATGTAGGTTTACAGAACAAATGAAAACCTGTATGGTCGATGACATATAGGTGTCAACTCTGGAGGAATGTTGAGTGAAATACCGTGAAAGGTCTCTTATAAAATCCACGTAGTCATTTCTGAAAGAAAAGAATAAACTAAAGATCTTAAACATCATTTGAATGCTATTTTCAGTACATTTTCCACTGTAGATTTACCAATACATACCGGCGCTCGGAATTAAAACAATGTGAATCGAATAGAGCGTGTGATCCTTCTACTTCCATTAGAGAAGCAATTCGCTTGAGAGTGCTCTATCCATTAAATAGGAAGTACCAAATCAATTGATGTTCTACCAGGCTCTCACCAGAGAAGAGATCCACAGAAGATTTTAATCACTTACCCGGCAAGCTTGTCGAACACTTAAATCATCCTCGTGTAGATGTAGGATCAACCGTGGGAGGGTAGCATGTACCTGATATAATCATGAAAATGACAATATATGTCAAATTGGCTATATGAGATTTCAGATGTTGACATCAAAGCCCTAGTTCTTCTTAACCATGCCATAAATCTTCAAAAAAAAAAAACAATAGTAAAGCTTTTAAAAGGAAAACAATAGGGAACTGTCAATGAAGCATGTGCATGTCACTTCACTAGTCACAAGCTCTACAAACCTACTTATGTAGAGATCGTTTTTGTGTCAAGAGCAACTGGCAAACAAAATCTTGCATGGAAGATAAAAGCTGTCCCCTAATGACTATCGGGATTGTTCTTTGGGCCTTCAACCCAAATTAATATTTAGTAGCACTGTATATCAAAGCTGTTAAATTGTGCTTGATAGAACTGGACCAACATGCATTAAGAAGTTACTAGAATCCATTAACCCAGAAAACTGCTTGTCGAAAAAAAAAAAAAAAAAAAAAAGAAATAAACCCTGAAAACTGGAACTTCTTATTATTAAAAGAATTCAAATATGTGACCTGCTCAAGAAATGCCTCCTGATTTGTCCCAGCTGCATAGGCGCTTAGTAATCCAAATGCTGCAAAGGCATTGGCTCTCATCTCTGCATTCATGCTTATCTGTTCCAACGAAAAAACCTTAACTATCAGCTCTATTAAAACCCATCACCATCTCCTAAAGAGATGACAGTCTTACATGTAATATAGATTAATGAAACAACCTCATGTATGAACAAACATGCAAGAAACAGCAGATATAACCTAAACTAAGATGGTTAAATGTCAAAAGGCTAAATGGAACGTCCATAATTAAACTAATGACACTAACATATTGGGCAATATATATTAGACTTGCTCGTAATACAAGGTTTAAGCCAAAATTAACAGCCACACCTGAAGATTGCGTAGCCGAACAGATAAGTTTGGCAAAATGGGTTCTACTGCATCTTTGGATGATGATTGAAGAACCTAAAACAGAGAAGAGGGAGAGGGATTGAGAAAATGGAGAAAAGACATGCTAAAGAAAATATTTTAGATGCTAGAACAGAAAATTTAAGACTGATTAAAAAAAGAGAGGAAAAGAGGATAAATCACCATTAATACACATGAAACAGCAGTTAGTTGCACAGATTCATCTGAATCATCGAGCAACGCTAATATTACACCAAGAACCTGAGTGGTATACTGAGAAATATGAACAGATGGTATCTGCCATGTTAAATATCAGGAAGTCATTATTCCAAAGGAGATAGAAAGAAAGTTCACATAAATACAACCAAATATTCTTCCACCTAAATAAAAAAAATAAATTTATCCAAAAACTTTAGTGAGCAACTGCAACTACAATGTTTATATATTGTATGAAGACAGGGAGATTTTTGCTTAAAACATTTATATTAGTGAAGAAAAAAGTAGAACACTTCAATCTTTACAGATAATAATTATATTGGAAAAAGAAAAATAAAAATCATCATTATCTCTTACCTGCACCAACCCTCTTAAACAAAGGCGTCTAACAGTTGAAGACTCATCTGAAACATGTCGACATAATACCTCAACCATCTGTTCCAATAGAGAACTAAAGCCGCCACTACAACAATGAGAATAGTGATGGATGAAATTTTTATTAGACTGTGTTGCACAAAATGTTGATATTTTAGAGGAACCGAGAATTTAAATTATCTACTTTCTCCATGACAAGTTTTGTGCCTACTCTGACTTAGAAAAAGGAAAATGAATCCTCAATGCTTTTAGATGATTTTGGATTTAAGCCTTAAATGAGATTATAAATTTGACAGATAGTCCAATAAAATTATATGATAGCCAAGGAAAGATGAGAGTACTAGCAAGTCAAAAAAGAGCATTAGTTCGTACTCATGACCAAGAAGAGGGAAGAGTGTTATGAATCCTCCCAGGATTGAATTGAACTAGGACTGGAATAAGACACAAGACATAAGATCCCAGCAATCCAAGTGTTGCAGAGCCTTGAAATGGATCTGCTCATGGATCCATTAACAGTAAAATCCTAGAAGCTAGTTTAGTGCTTTTGTGATTCTCTTCCTCTGTGGTCTATGGTTATATGATTGTGCTAAGGGCTCCTTGAAGAGAACTCTAGGATCATTTAAGGTAAAGGTACTCAAGAAAAGAAGGAAATTCCATCACTTGCTGATATCAATTATTATTTGTCTATAATACCAAGTTAGATAAGTTGTACCTAGAACTGGATTGATATTAGCATACAATATATGTACACTGACAGAAGTTGGTGATGTAAATGAACTAAAGCAAGAAGACTGGCCTAAATAAAAGTATCTCCTCCTTTCTGCTATGCCAATATCATAGCATTCCACTGCTTCAGCTACAGTAGTACAATTCATATATGGAAATCACCAAACCCCAACCACATATATTTACCGTGAAAAATATTGATTACAATAGATGTGGCATCATGTTACTTGTATTCTAGCTATGTTATCAAGAAGTCTGATAGCCATGTGCATAATAACATCAACATAGATAATTTGAAAAAAAAATGTGGATAACTGAAAAACCAAGATAGAAAACATTTTGAAGGGAAAAAAAAAAAACCATACAGCACATACCTATAGCGTACAAACTCTGACAGTGCTGCAGCTGCAGCTTCTCTTTGAAATCTATGTGACCAGCTCAACGATTTAGTCAAAATTTCGCATATACTTTGAACCTATACATAGTATAATCGTCTGTTTAATTTCATTATTATGTCAAATAATTCATGCCAAAAAAAGGAATTCACAAATACTTGATCAAACAACCAATACTGCAACATGATCCAGTCAGTTATTATCACAATCACATGTTTTTTTTCTTTATTTATTTTTGAAAATATTACCACAATCACGTCATTATGAGGTGAACAAACTTCTGCAAAATTTAATCCAGCTAGTTAGGGTTCATTAGGGGTCAGTTACATGAATCCTTTGCTTGTCTAACATTTAACAAATAGGTTGTAATCCCCCTTTTTTAATAAAAGAAGAAATGTTATTAAAAATGGCAGAAGAAATTACAAAAAGATAAGAGGATAAGGCATCTGTGTATGAGAAGAATAATAAGAAAACCAGAAAACGAAAAAAGACATAGAAGGCCTCAACATAAAATAGCCTCCCAATTCCTTTACAAGCAAAATATTCCAAAAACCCATGGACCTTAGCCCACAAAGATGCCAAATACACCAACCTATACCGAATAAGCGTGAAATATTTGGCACATAAAAAAACAATGAATATGGACTTGCAATAACATTAAGATAATCAATGAAGGCAGACAAAGAATATAGTGAAGGAATAATTCCCCATCCAAAGATCCTCCCAGAATAAGAAATGGAATCCATTTCGCACCCTTAAAATGAAACAAAGGCCGAAAACCCAAGAGATAAATTCTAGGGATTTCTTTTGGGTCACTGGAAATTCCATCCTTATCTCAATAAAAATTAGTAGAGGAAAAGGTTTAATTATCCGCAGTTAAGATTGATGTATATGGTCTGTTTTAGCTGCCAGTCAAACAAGGGAGACTCTTATAAATAAGTGAAAGAAGTCGACGATGATCCATAATATTATCACAATGCCTCTTCAATCAAAAGAGTGAATTGAGATCCTTTGATGAAACTTGAAATTATCATCCCTTGTTCCACACAAGAATGGAAGAAAGTCTAACAAAGGAACCATGATGTTATCGAATTATGCCTCTTCAATCAAAAGAGAATTGAAAGCCTTCGATGAAATTTGAAATTATCATCCTATCTCACATGAATGAAAAGGCAGTGATGTACTTTTAGTGAGACATCTTAAAGCCACTACCAAGTCACAGTTTAGTCATATAGTATTTTCTTTCTACTATCGATTTAGAGAGATGAAAATAGACAAATAAAAATTAGATGAAAGGTAAATTATACTACCTCTTTAGGTCTCTTAATAGAAATACTCCCAGCAATCTCTCCAATAAGATTAATCCATTTCTCCGTTTCATTTTGTTCCCCATCTCTAGCCAAGATCTGTAGACAACAATTCAATCTCAACTTCCTTATATAGAAATGAAAGCTCTTATGCTACATCTTAGTGCTGGTAAAGTGTACCTTTCCCATCTCAATGTCTCCAACACATTCACAGAAAGCCTGGAAAGCAGTCAGAAGAGCTCTGCAAAGACAGAGAAAGTATAATATTCCAGAAAATTGTTTTACAGACAGAGAATCTAACGATCCATTGAGATGCTATCTCCAGAGATATGAGAAATGCATTGATAGATATTCACCGTAATGGTTCATGCTGACCCGAACTTGCTAGACCATGACAACTCCCTAACTGCAGTGTAAGTGCAGCCACAACAGAAGCATATCTCCCTTCAACAGCTTTCTTTCCAACTTTACCACCACCTCTGCAATAAAAGTTAAACTTTGTCAAACTACGAATGCATAATAATTAGGTAACATCCTATAAATTGATCAGTGGAGACCTGAAAAAGGCCGTCATAGCAAAAATAGCTGCTTGCAGAATGTCATCCTCCAACTTAGTTTCAGCAAAATGACTTGAACTCTCTGCCTTCTCTAAATCACCTCTAAGGACTGGACTCTGGTCAAGGGCACATATAAGATGTGCGAGGAACAAAGAGGAAAGCTCCGTGTGTTGTGAAAAGGCCTGTATTAAATCAGTGATTGAGAAAGAGAGACAGAATAATGAAATAACCATATTCTTCAAAGAATATGGTGAATGATGTGTTTATCTATTCATATTTGCTTTGCTCTTCACTCCTTGTTTTCAGAGACTGTCTTCTGTTCTTTCTTTCTATACTTAATTTTTTTTTCTGTTTGCTCTGTTTTGATATTTTTTTCCTCTTTCCTATACTTTCTTCCTTCCTAATCAATAAAATTTCTTTTTTCAATCAAAAGGGAAAAAGAAGAACAAAGAAAAACCAAGCATGACATAATAAAAGCCAGTTTGCAATCACCAACAACCATGTTAGAGGATCTTATGCAATAATCCTAACTAAAATTTAGAAAGCACTCACGTAGAATGCATCTTGCAAGGGCCAACCACCACGTAATCTAGATATATCCTTTGTAACTATGTCCTTCGCTGCAGCAGCCAATACTTCGTTGAATACAATTCTTGATTGGGTGCTCTCAGCCAGAGAAGAAATCTTGAGGTGGTTAAGAACAATGACAACAAAAATCAAGCAAAAACAAAATGGTACTCCCAAATCAATACCATATCACAGAAAAGTTACCTGAAAGAAAACAGTAGAACCTAAAAACTTTGATATAATTAGATAAAAGAATTAAATGAAAAGATACAGCCCCAAGAGCTTCTAAACGTAGGTGCTTCTCAGTTACATGAATCGCAGCAGAAAGTAAAGACTGAGTCGTCCTACAGGAACATATTCAATTACCTTTATGAGAAATCCTGACAATTGAATCTTTACCAGAGCAGTAAAAAATCACAAATAGATTGCTAAAACTTGGAAGCAATTAATAATTTTTAATGATAAGACAGACCTTGAGATGTCAATTTCACTCAGTTCATTTCCCCTTTTTACAACAAACTCAATAACAGCTTGGATAGTCCCTTCAGCTGAGTGCCTGACCTTATCACAAATAGCTGCAGTACATCCATGCAGGGCAGCAACAAGCTGCAATAAGTCATTAACAGAAGTTATGATGCCAGAAATTTATGCCAACGTTTCAACCACATTTTTGACAAAATAAATCCTACCTCATCCTTAGATAGTAAAATGCAGACAGAGGAAACAATTCTGTTAAAAACCTCAGATGGATCAATAGAAGCATCCTGAATATAGATACAACAAAAGTAAGCTACTACTGCTTCAAATGGCACATATATTAAATGGGAATGAAAATATAAAGAAAGATTCAGAACAAAGCTGCAAAGAGGTATACACTTCTCAAGATGGCTATGACATCCTCAAGGGAGGATAAAGCACTGTAGGACAATTCTATATCTATGCCGATAATAGAACCTCCAGGCCTAGGAAGAGACAGAGAGATGCTGAAGAGTTGATCAAGAATCTACAGAAAATAAAATGCAAAAGATTTTACTATGTTATAATGGACAGTGTTTAAGTAAAAATCATATAAAATTTTGTTATAAACCATAAGAACTCAAATATTTCCAGCAGCATCTCAACTCAAGCTAGTTGCTGACAAGTAATGTCACACCTGGGCAGAAATCTTTCGAACTTCAGAGTTTGTGTCCGCACAACGAGGAAGATACATTATGACCCTATCTCCCAAAGACAGAGCTTCACGACTTGGCAAAACAAATGCAGCTGGTTGTAAATGAAAAAAGAAAGCATATCAGCAAAATGCATGGGGGATCACGAGGAACTTCAGATTGCTTACATGGTAGGTTAGAAAAATTCCCATGCAGAGGACGTTCAATTGTTTTGTTGTGAGTGCAACTTATGCGGCAGCCAAGTGCACAATAGCCACTGGCACAAAAGCATTCTAAACTTGATGAGGATCTCATGCACGGCAGACCACCTCTTCTTCTTTGGTACTCAATAAGTGAAGAAACATACTGATCAGTTGTCTCAGAATGTGCAAAACTGCTCTGCTCGACTTC